TTTTTTTTGGAGAGGTTTTTGCTGTAGGGCACGTGCGCTCACCAGACAGACAGAGACATAGACACAGAAAGCGAGAAATCACCCCCAAGTGGGGATGGTCACATCGCAATCCCTTCTCCTCCATTCTCCTTTCGGGATCTTGAGCACGCACGCATACGTGCCTGGCGTGAGTTTTAAGCCACCGGGTCCAGGACGCGAACCGCGGACGACTACGTGGGAGTCCAGCGACATAGCCATTACGCTAACTGCTGGTTCCCATTATCATCTTTTAATTTGACCAGAGAAAGAGAGAGAGAGAGAGAAATAGAGGGAAAGTGAGAAAGCAAGCATCCAGGTTCAGGACCTAAACTGTAATTGGCCATGTGGGAGTCAGAGATATATCTGCTACATCATCTGCTAGCCCCGAATTCCTCACATTTCTAAAGTGCATTGAGATCTCTGATCCTTTGTAGCTGTTGTTCCCTCCCTTGAAACTCTTCTCTCTGCTCCCTCCAATCTTTATCCAGTTCTTACTCATCATTCAGATCTCAGCTGAAAGGACCCTTGCATACAAAGGCCCCTTTTAACACCTTAGAGAGGCCGCTACCTTAGGGTTTTGTAGCTAGCTTTACCTCTTATATCACGATTTTCATCACACTTTAAAGATTATTTGATTTGGGACCAGCAGTTAGCGTAATGGCTATGTCGCTGGACTCCCATGTAGTTGATTATGGCTTGAGTTCTGGACCCGGCAGCTTAAACTCACACCAGGTACACGTACGTGTGTACCCAAGATCCCTAGGATCCCAAGAGGAGAATGGAGGAGAAGGGATTGCAGCGTGCCTGGGGGGTGATTTCTCATTTTCTATCTCTCTGTCTCTCTGTCTTTCTGGTCAGCGCACACGCCCTATAGCAAAAACCTCTTCCCCCGCCAAAAAAAAAAAAAAAAGATTATTTGATTTTCTGACTTTTAGGAAGTCTGTGAATGCTAAGGAAAAGTCCATATTTATTTTGTTGATAATTTTATTTTCAAAGTCCCGTACAGTTCCTAGCACAAAGGAAACTCTATCTCAGTTCCCTCATTCATAAAATGGGAATAAGAGAAACTGCTTCATAGTTTGTGTGTTACAACAACCATTTTACTATTTATTTGCCACCTGATGGCCCCTACTTATTTATTTTTAATTTGCTACTGGGTCTGCGTGCTCGCCAGAGAAAGCGAAAAGCACCCCTCCCCCATGAAGGTTTCCACACCAGGACCCTCTCTTCTCCATTTCTCCTTGTGGGGTTTTGGGCATGTAGGCACACATACCTGGCAAGTCCCTTGAGTTGCCGGGTCAGGGTCTCAAACTGCTCAGTAGGCCATGTGCGATCTAGCTGCTTTAACTACCGTGCTACTGGCTAGTCTAACAACCATTTTATTACAGCTCATAATTTTATGGGGCAGAAATCTGGATGTGGCTCAGCGGGGTGATTCTTCTCTCCCATTTGGCATTGACCAACCAAAGGCGACCTGGTGTATTTGATGAGCAGATTGGCTCTTCCAGAAGTCTTAACTCATATCTGGCACTTTGATGACTGGAACACTGGAGTCAACTAAAGCTGTCCGCCAAACTGTCTTCATAAGGCCTCCCTGGCCCAGGATCTCAGGGTAGTAGAACTTTTTTTTTCAGAATGATGCAATTCTTTATTTTCATACTTCAACAAATAGGTTTTCAAGGGATAATCTTTCTAGTGGAGATTAACGACAAGAAAACCAGCCTCCAGCCATCAGCAGCTGCCCTGCTCACGGCCTAGGCTCCCCCTGGCCTGAATGGTAAGACGGAGGGGTGTACTTTCCTTCCTTTATTAGCTTTTCCCACCGCATCCTGATGGCGTTCATGCGTTTCATCGTTTTCTGCCGAACTATACACTCTATGAAGTCATCGTATTCTAGCTCGCACTCTTTCTCTGCCCGGATACTGCCAATCCCATGTGCACATTCTATCCACTCCTTCTCTTTTTACTTTTTTTTTTAAACAATTTTTTAAAGAATTATTTTAACTTTATTTACTTATTTTAATTTGACCAGAGAGAGATAGAGCGAGAGAGAGAAAGTGAGAAAGCAAGCCGCCAGGTCCGGAGTTCAAACTGCAGTTTGCCATGTGCGAGTAAAGCACCCTTAACCACAGTTCACTAGTTCCCGGGTCTATCCGCTCCTTTTCAAAAGCGTGGCATCGAGATGGGAGCTTGTGCAGCTGTTCACCACTCTGGATTGTCATCCAGCGATCTATGTTAATGCCCAGCCTTTTCTGCACATCAAGGAAAGGTATGACTGCCCGCCACACTGCCCTTGTCTTCCAGCTGGCCGCTGCTGCAGACCCCACAGTAGTAGGACTTTTTATATGGCAGCTCTGGGTGTGTCCCAAAAAGTCTGAGAAGAAGTTATCTCACCTAGCTTCAAAAGGACCAGAACTTTCATACAATTTTTTGAGAAGGAAATAGATTAATATATGTAAAGTGGGACACAATGGTCATATGGAAGATCATGGGTATAGTTCCTGGGTTTTAGTTTTGACCTCACACAGCAGGTGCATGAAAGCCAGTGCATGGAACCTTGATCCTGCTGGCTAACTGGTTGGCTGGAAGAGCTGGGGAGGGGTTATATTAATTTGCTATAAGGTACGTGTACTCAACAGAGAGAGAGAGAGAGAGAGTGAGAGAGAGAGAGAGAGAGAGAATGAGAAGCATCCCTTTTCTACTCTGTCAGGATTTTGGGGACACACACACACACACACACACACACGAGTGTTTTTCAAGCCTCTGGGGTCTGACTCAAATTGTGCAGTTGGCCACATGGGGTTCAGCCACCTTATTCGCCACGCCACTGGCTGGCCCAAAAGAAACTTAAAAAACAACAACAACAACAAAACAAGGGGCCAGCAGATGGTGTGGTGGTTTAGGCACTTGACTCCCACATGGCTAACTGCGGAGTCCTGGACCTGCCGACTCGCTTTCTCACTTTCTTTCTCTCTTTCTCCCCAGTCAGTGTACATGTCCTGTAACAACTTAAAAAAAAAAAAAGATAATTCTTAAAAAGAAAAAAATAGGGACCAGCAGGTAGCATGGTGGTTAAGGTGCTGGACACTCCCACATGGCTGACCATGGCTCTAGTCCCGGACCTGGTGGCTTGCTTTCTCAGTCTTTCTCTCTCTCTGTCTCCCTCTGGTTGAATTAAAATAAATGAATGAATAAGTAAAATTAAATAAACAATTATATAAAAAAAAATTAAAAAATAAACTTTGAGGCCAGCAGGTGGCATAGTGGTTAAGGTGTTGCACTTTCAAGTGGCCAACTGTGATTGGAGTCTGGTCCCAGGAGCTTGAAACTCATGCTGGCCACATATGCTTGTGTGCCCAAGACTCCTAGAGAAGACTGGATTGCCTTGTGACCATCCACCTTGGGGGAAGCAATGTGTGTGTGTGTGTCTCCGTCTCTCTCTGTCTCCAGCAAGCGCAGCTGCCCTATAGCAAAATTCTCTACACACACACACACACACACACTAACCCCCAAAACAGAAAAGTTCAAATTATGTCGGGTCAGCAGGTGGTATAGTGTTTACCATGCTGGATACCACATGGATGACTCTGCGGTTGGAATCTTGGACTTGAAAAACATGCCAGGCACATGTGGGTGTGTGCCCCAAATCCCATCCCAGCAGGAGAGAGAGGGAATATGCTTACACATACGCCCAGCATGATAGTCAAACCTCTGAGTGAAGGACTGGAGCCACGAAGTCAGCCACGTGGGGTCCCTAGCCACCTTAACCTCCATGTCACCTGCTGGACCCTTAAATCGCTATTTTAATTATGTTTTTGTTGATAGGCCATCTACATTAATTTCCAGTTTGTCGCCATAAGTTTCAGATCAAGGACTCTGATCTTTAAGAACCTGAACCGAGGGACAAGCAGTTAGTGTAATGGCTATGTCGCTGGACTCCCACGTAGTCGACGGCGGTTCGCGTCCTGGACTCGGTGGCTTAAAACTCACGCAGGGCGCGTGTGCGTGCGTGCCCAAGATCCCGAGGAGAATGGAGGAGAAGGGATTGCGGCGTGACCATCCCCCCTGGGGGGTGATTTCTCGCTTTCTATCTCTCTGTCTCTCTCTGTCTGGCGAGCGCACGCGCCCTATAGGGAAAAACCTCTCCAAAAAAAAAAAAAAAGAACCTGAACCCAGAGTTAACTACGGCGAGGGGCCACAGTTACAGCACGGCCACCCCATCCTCAACGACTGGATGAGGGGAGGCGGGCGGGAAGGGGCAGGGGTGGCCTGGGGAGGCCGCGCGTGGGCTGTCGCCGCCCTCCGACCGCTTCAGCCGACACAGCGCGCCGCTGGGCGCACACGGCCCGCCCGCCAGGGGGCTCCGCTCTGGCTCCGCCTGTGCGGCCGCTCCTTCTCGATGGCGGGCGTTTCCTGTCTCCTAATGTGGCATGATGGGAGAAGTAGTCCACTTTCCGGGGGCGGTGCGGGCCCTAGCCTGACACAGAACTTCATTTCCCGGCGCGGCTCGCGGCGGCCGCACAACCCAAAGACGAAAGACCGGTTCCGGTTGCGTCAGCGTGGGCTTCACGGCGGAATGAGGCTGTTCGTGAGCGAGGGTGCCCCGGGGAGCCTGCCGGTGCTGGCCGCGGCCGGGAGGGCCCGGGGCAGAGCGGAGCTGCTCATCAGCACTGTGGGCCCGGAAGGTACTCGGGCTGCTGCTGGAGGACGGCGGATGACGGGGCGGGACCGACACTCGCCCCCCACCCCCAAGATGTCTTTGCTGCATCCCTGACACTCACACACCACACACACCCACCTTCCCCTCCATGATCCTTGCCCATTCCATTCCCTCTTCCCTCCCAGCTACACTTTTTTTTTTGGTTGTTAGTTTGCAATAGGGCAGCTTGCACGCGCCCCTTCCCCCCATCAGGGGGATGGCCATGCGGCAGTCTCTTCTGTCTCCTCTCAGGCGTGCATGCACACGTGCCCGGAGTGATTTCTAAGCCATCAAGTCGGGACTTGAACCGTATAGTCAGCCATGTGGGACCCAGCACCGTAACCTCCACCCCACCTGCTGCCCCCCCCACCCCTCAATCAGTTGCTCCCTTTAATTATCCCCTGTAAACCCTTTCCTCATTTTATAGCCTCCTCTCTTTCCTCTTGCAGGACCCCTTGTCTCACCACAGTAACCTGCTCTCCCCTTCCCAGGCTTCTATCAGGAACTATCCACACTTGGTCTCTCCCATGACCCCAAGATCCCCTTTGTCATTCTTAAAAATCTCACTGTTTCCTCCCAAGACACACAAACATGTACACTCATTTTTACTTACCTCTTCTCATCCCCAGCCAACTGTTTGGGTGACTCTCAAGCAGTTTTTTTGTTAGTCTTCTTAGTCTATTGTAGCCTCAAATCATTCTCAAGATACCCGTTGCTTTCAGTTGTTCAGTTCTTAGCTCCAGCACTGTCCCAAGACCTCCACCCCCTCTCTGCAATCCCCATCTGTTGTTTCCAGCTGCCAGCCTCAGCTGAACACCTGCTAGTCTTTCCAGCTCATTCTGACCCACCCCCCTTTCAGTGGTCCTGTGCTAGAACCTCTAGGTTGAGACTACTCATCTTTCTTCTCTTCTTTCTTGAACAACATAGGATTGTCCTAAGTTGACAAGGCATTTATTTTCTTTTCCTTAATTTTCATCCATATTTCTTTCTTGCTTCAGAGTGTGTGGTCCCGTTCCTGACCCGACCTAAGGTCCCTGTCTTGCAACTGGATAGTGGCAACTATCTCTTCTCCACTAGTGCAATCTGCCGGTCAGTACTGGTCCTTGATGCGGGGAGGTGGCTGAATCAAATCAAGTCTCATTTCCTTATTTATTTATTTATTTATTTGGAGAGGTTTTCGCTATAGGGTGCGTGACAGAGACGTAGAGACAGAAAGTGAGAAATCACCCCCCAGGGGGGATGGTCACGCTGCAGTCCCTTCTCCTCCATTCTCCTCTCAGGATCTTGGGCACGCACACACATGCGCCCAGCGTGAGTTTTAAGCCACTGGGTCTGGGACGTGAACCGCTGTCGACTACGTGGGAGTCCAGCGACATAGCCATTACGCTAACTGCTGGTTCCCTCATTTCCTTATTTGTGACCACTGTTTCACTGGGGTGTGAAATGGGCTAGACCGATGAGCCCCTTTAATCCCTCCTTTTGTTGCTCTCTCCTGGGCAGATACTTATTTCTGTTATCTGGCTGGGAGCAAGATGACCTCACCAACCAGTGGCTGGAATGGGAAGCCACAGAGCTGCAGGTGGGACTGAGGCAGGAGGGGTGGCAGGCAGGCTCTTGGTGTATACATCCATGCTGACTCATGTTCTCTGCATTGTAGCCAGCTTTGTCTGCTGCCCTATACTATTTAGTGGTGCAAGGCAAGAAGGGGGATGATGTTCTTGGCCCAGTTCGGAGAGCCCTGACTCACATTGACCATAGCTTGAGTCGCCAGAACTGTCCTTTCCTGGCGGGGGTGAGTTGGTTTTGGAGATGGGGACTGAGGGAGGCCTTTAGTGTAAGGATTGAAAGGGAGACTGTATTCAGAGTGTTTGAACCCCAGCACTGCCGCTTATTAGCAGTGTAACCTTACCAAATCACTTAAGCTCTCTGATCCTTGTTTTTTGTTTGTTTGTTTGTTTGTGAAATGGGGATGATATTAATATGAACATTTGAATTATTTTTAGGATTAAGTGAAATTATGATGTGTTTAACACAGTGCTTAACACTAGTAAGTGCCCAGTTAATAATATGGATAATATTACCATTGGAAAGGAACTGAATATCTCTTCCGTGTACCTTTTTCTTTTCTTCTCCCAACAAAGGAGACAGAATCTCTGGCTGACATTGTTCTGTGGGGAGCACTGTACCCATTACTCCAAGACCCAGCCTATTTCCCTGGTGAGAACCATGCATATTACTTCACTTCCAGCTTCAACTCCAGGGACTCGGTGTAGGGGTTATGGAAGGGGAGTAGAATATTGAGGTTAATTTCAAGGTACAGTGTGATAGGGCACCTAGCAGAAGATAGCTAAGGGATCCGGGGGGGAAGCGGCTGGAGAAATCTCACAAAGAAAGGGAGGAAGTTCACTCCTGCCTGCCCGATCCAGGTCCTTGTGTTTGCTGATCTCTCTTTTCTTCCTTGCCCACAGAGGAGCTGAGTGCCCTGCATAGCTGGTTCCAGACATTAAGTACCCAGGAGCCATGTCAGCAAGCCGTAGAGACTGTGTTGAAACAGCAGGGTGTCCTGGCCCTCCGACCCTACCTCCAAAAGCAACCCCAGCCCAGTGCCCCTGAGGGGAAGACTGTCAGCAATGAGCCTGAGGTTTGTAAGGGGGCAGTTATCGTCACAGAGCCTTAGGAGGTGCTTAGGAGATGGATTTTGAGCACGGTTACTAACTCTTGGCAGTGGTTGGAGAGCAAGGAGAGTTTCATTACCCTGTGGGCACACCTCACTTGGTAAAAGGTTCTCTCTACTCTTTCTTTATTTTTGTTCTTTTTCTTTTCTTTCTTTCTTTTTTTTTCTTTCTTTATTTTTTTACATAGTTTTTTTTTAATTTTTAAAATTTTTTATTATCATCATAATCTTCTTTATATTACATTGGATTACATATAACTTTACAGTGTATTACATTGCTTTTTCAAAAGGGAATGCCATGCATAGAAAATATATCGCATGTTGAAGCGGGGAGATTAATGTCTTTGTACTGACTGTCTTTCTTTTTTTTTTTTTTGTGAGATTTCTTTTTCTTCTTCTTCTTTTTTTTTTTCCGCTATAGGGCGCGTGCGCTCGCCAGACAGACAGAGAGAGACACAAAGACAGAAAGCGATAAATCACCCCCCAGGGGGTATGGTCACGCCGCAATCCCTTCTCCTCCATTCTCCTCTCAGAATCTTGGGCGCACACGCGCCCGGCGTGAGTTTGAAGCCACCAGGTCTGGGACACCAACCGCGGTCGACTACGTGGGAGTCCAGAGACATAGCCATTATGCTAACTGCTGGTTCCTTCTACTCTTCACAGGAGGAGGAACTGTCTACCCTGTCTGAGGAGGATATTGCCATGGCTGTTACTGCATGGGAGAAAGGCCTGAGAGGCTTGCCCCCACCTCGGCCTCAGCAGAATCCAGTGTGAGTAGGCACAGATAAATGGACATATTTTTTTTTTACTTTTAAAATAATTATTTAATTTAATTATTATTGTTTTTATTTGACCAGAGAGAGAGAGGGAATGTGAGAAAGCAAGACTCTAGGTCTGAGACTGAAACCATGGTTGGCCATGTGGGAGTCCAGCACCTCCACCACGATGCCACTTGCTGGACCCTAAATAGATACTGTTTTTTTTTTGTTTGTTTTTAAAACAATTATCTTATTATTTAATTTTATTTACTCATTTATTTATTTTAATTTGATCAGAGAGAGATACAGAGAGAGGGAAAGTGGGAAAGCAAGCCACCAGGTCTGGGACTCGAACTGTAATTGGCCATGCGGGAGCATCCAGTGCCCCAACCACCACGCCACCTGCTGGTCCCCAGTAGAGATTGTTGATAGAGTCTCTGTCTGCCAGGGCTCCTTTGCTGACCACCCCTTAATTTGCCATTCTTTCTTTTTCATTCTCAGGCCTTTTTTTTCTTTCTGTTTTTAATTCTCTCTTAGCTTATTTTGGACACTCCAGTTGTCCTATCTGTACCCATGTTTTCGGCTACTCTTTACCCACTGATAGCAGCTAAATCTGTTGTTCTAGTTTAGGTTTCTATTCTGAGCTCCAGACATATTCATCAAACTATCTCATAGATCCCTCCACTTCCACAGGCATCTCAAACTCAACATGTCCAAGATCAAACCTGTTATCTTCCCTGCCAGCTGCTCTTCTTTTCTTATTTATTCATCCATGTTAACCGAACAACTTCTCCCTTCTACCTGTAAAAATCTGAGCCCTGAATCTTGTTGTCAAATACATCATACCTTTCCCCCTTGCTGTGTCCTTTTTTTCCATTACTGGGTCATTGATTCTAACTCAGATCCATCCCTCTTCCTCTCTGTCTTCACTGTCTTCACTGCTTCTACCTTAGGTTAGGCCTTATCTTCTCTTACCACGTGACCTCGTACTCTACACTGCCATTAGGGTGACACTTAAAACCACACACACCTCACCTTGTTTTCAGAATTTTGCAGAGGGTTACTTTGTATAGTTCGAGATCTGATGATCATGTTCCTGTCTGCATGCCCAGCATCATAGTTTGTTTCTCTTCTGCTGTACTACAGTACACTACTTGCACATACACAGATTTTTTTTCCCATCGAAATGAAATTTATAATGCTGATTGTCTTTCAGCAAAGATTTGTGCATTCATTCCTTAGACTCTATATGCCAGAAACTGTGTATCCATAAAGGAACAAAACAGATAAAACCTCTGTTCTCATGGAACTTTGAGCCTTATAGGATAGACAGGTGTTTTAAAAAAACGGCCACCCAAATGTGTAATTACAAATCTTGATAAGTCCTTTGAAGATAAGGGACAGGATACTATGAGAAAACATACTAGAGGAGACTCATTTTTGAGGACTTTGTAAAAAAGTTGTTTGGGGGCTAACAGATGGCGTGGTGGTTAAGGGCACTGGACTCCCACATGGCCAGCTGCGGGTTGAGTCCTGAGTCTGGAGGCTTGCTTTCTCTCTCTCTCTCACTCTGTCCCTCTCAGGTCAAATTTAAATAAATAAACAGACAATTATATTTTTAAAAGAATTATTTATTTAATTGTATTTATTCATTCATTTATTTTAATTTGACCAGAGAGAGACACACAGAGAGAGACAGGGAGAATGAAAAAGCAAACCACCAGGTCTGGGACTCGAACCATGGTCACCCATGTGGGAGTGTCCAGTGCCTTAACCCCCATGCCACCTGCTGGTCCCCTGTAGTTGTTCATATTTATGGAGCGCCAACTACGTGCCAGGCACTAGGCTGTGCAATGAACAGGGATGATCTATCTCATTTAAATCTCACCACAAACTTATGACACGGGTACTATTTTTATTCCCATTGTACAGATGAGGATCCTGCTTGGACAAGTGAAATCACCTGCCCAAGGTCACACAATTTGTAAGTGGTAAAGCTGGGATCTGAACCCAGCTCTGTCTGACAAACAGAATCCACCTGCCCACCTCCTAGTTTTCCAGAGCTTTTAATCCTATGCAGGGCCTTTCAGTAAGTGTTGAACTCTTGGGACTACCACGTGAATCGTATTGCCATTTCTCTGTCAGTCACCCAGTGAGCCATTCAACAACCAGATAATATATTGAATCCTTATTCTAGGCTTGGCATAAGGCTATAAGGCTAAATAAAATTCAGTCTCCCTGCTAAGAGCCATAATTAACGTGTGCATATAATGTTAGAAATAAACCAAGAAAAGCTGTAATTCTGGTCCTGGAAGAGGTGGATCCTTAGACCCAAAATCACACCCATATTCTAACTCGCCTTTATCCATGTAAAAAATGACTTATCCTGTGTCCCAGTCTCTCATCACTAATGGGTTAATGGGCAAAGCCATGTCATCACTGAGCTAGAGAGAGCCTTAGGAATTGTCCCCATCCATAAATATGGCCGACCATGGTTCCAGCCCTGGACCTGATGGCTAGCTTTCTCGCTTTCCCTTATTTTCTTTCTCTCTCTGTTTGGTCAAATTAAAAAATATTAATAACAAATGGAATTAAATAAATAAATAATTCTTTTATTTATTTATTTTTTTTGGGGGGGAGAGGTTTTTGCTATAGGGTGTGTGTGCTCACCAGAAATACAGAGAGAGACAGAGAGACATAAAGGGAGGAATCACGAATCACCCCCAGGGGGAATGGCCATACCGCAGTCCCTTCTCCATTCTCCTCTCGGGATCTTGGGCGCACACACACGTGCCCGGCATGAGTTTAAGTCATCGGGTCTGGGACTTGTACCACGGTCAACTACATGGGAGTCCAGTTACATAGCCATTATGCCAACTGCTGTTCCCAAATAAATAATTCTTCTTTTTTTTCTTTTTTTTTATAATTATTTATTTTATTTTATTTATTCATTATTTTTTAATTTGACCAGAGAGAGACAGAGGTTGAAAGAGAGAGGAAGTGAGAAAGCAACCCACCATATTCAGGACTCAAACCCTGCTTGGCCACGTGGAAGCGTCCAGCGCCTTAACCACCATGCCACCTGCTAGTCCCGCAAATAAATAATTCTTTTTAAAAAATCTTAGAGCATGTGTGCTCACAGGAGTGAGGGGAGAAGGAGAGTGAGAAAGCAAGGCATTATGTCCAGTACTCAAACTGTGGTTGGCTGTGAGAAAATCCAGCAACTTAGCCACCACACCACCTGCTGTTCCCTAGGTATCTTTTCTTTCTTTCCTTTTTTTCGTAAGTGTCTTTTCTTAATCGTAGGCTAGAGTATGTGTTTGCCTTCCTTCTGCCTCTTTGCCTCTTTCTGCTTTTCTGTTGCGCTGATGCTAAAGAGCAGTTAACTAATAGGATGTAACTCTCTTGAGGGCAGAAGCCAGGGCACACTTACATATTCTATCTGCCACAATAGTGACATACTGAGACAGAGAAGTGACACGGTAACACACAAGGAGCATTGCACAAATTGACACAAGCAGTTAGGGACTCGGAGTGCAAGAAAGACTGTGGGAGTGGGGACCAGCAGTTGGGGTAATTGCTATGTTGCTGAGCTCCTGTGTAGTCGACTGTGGTTCAAGTCCCAGACATGGTGGGTTAAACTCACACTGGGCATGTGTGTGTGGGCGCCAAAATCCCGAGAGGAGAATGGAGGAGAAGGGATTGTGATGTGGCCATCCCCCTGGGAGGTGATTTCTCACTCTCTGTCTCTCTGTCTCCGTCTGTCTTTCTGGCGAATGCAGGTGACCCATAGCAAAAACTTCTTAAAAAAAATACAAAGAAAGACTGTGGAAGGATGGTTATCAGTGAAGGAAGTTTTTCCTAAAGGACCTGATTTCTAAGCTGGATTTCAGAGAAAGTTATCCCGTTATGGGGAAAGGCCAATGAATTCAGGAGAAATTTGTAAAAATACGTTGTGAGAGTGGTCGGCAGGAGGCATTAGTGGTTAAGGTTGCTGGACTCCCACATGGTCGACTGTGGTTCGAGTCCTGGACCTGGCAGCTTGCTCTCATTTTCTTTCTCTTTCTCTCTCTCTCATTCTGTTCCTCTCTGGTTAAATTAAAAATAAATAAATAAATAAAGTTAAATAAAATAATTCTCGAGGAAAAAAGAAAAGAAAAAGGAAAACTATCTGTTGTGAGAAAAGTAGCCATAAAAATGTTCCAGGAATATGTAGCAGCAGCTGGGAAGACGGGTGAGGTTAATGTGAGGGAATGAGTTGACAGAATGGTCGGGGTTGGTGAGGGGTCAGTGCCGACGAAAGGGTTGATCAAGGGTGGTGCAGCTGGGCTGTCAGCGTGACGAAGCATGAGAAAGGAGGCTGGTACTGAATTGATGATTACAGACTGCGGTTGAGTGATGTAACTGTGAATGATCCTTGAAAAGTGGGCAGGCGAGGGTGGCTCTGAAGGCAGTAGCTGGTGCTGAGCTTTAAGTTGGGCCATGAGGAAATGACACATGTGGCTTAGGGAGAGAAGAGTTAGGGTACAAACGGATTTGGTAAGACTTGAATGTGGAGTGATGAGCTGTAGGGCCTTCAGATAGTGACTGGAGCACCTGAGAACAGAGCACCTGGGGAGAGGTCAGCATTGGGAAAGCGTTCTTGGGAGTAGTTAGAGTGGAGATAACTGGACAGAGCTGAGAGAATTTTGTCACCACCTGGGAAATTTGAAGCTGAGAAGGAGCTAGTGGAAAAGAAGCTGTCACAGTTGTGAGAGAGACAGAAATCAGTGTTAGAATGAGGCTTTTTAAGAGCAGCAGACTAGGCTGCTCGCTGTAGCAGGACCCTTTGAATCTGTAGGGGAGCTTACGGCCCTGGGGCATCTTAGAGCCCTGTGGGTTCCTACGTGGAAAGACTGCAGATGTACATGAACCTACCACAGCAGATCAAGTCCGTGTCTGGATGTTCTGTGCCCGTGACCCTCACAGCTTCCCTCCAGAGCGTTCTCTTCCTTTTGCCTTACCAGGCTGCCTGTGGCTGGAGAAAGGAACGTGCTCATCACCAGTGCCCTCCCTTATGTCAACAATGTCCCTCACCTTGGAAACATCATTGGTTGTGTGCTCAGTGCTGATGTCTTTGCCAGGTACAGCCAGCTGCTGGGGAGAGACCTCCTGAGGGAGGGCGGGCCCCAAGGCAACAGGATGGGGTCTGCAGGGATCCTAGGGGACAATGGAGCGGCTGAGATGGGGCCCTCCCATGATCACTGTATTCCCTTCCAGGTACTCTCGCCTCCGCCAGTGGAACACCCTCTACCTGTGTGGAACAGATGAGTATGGTACAGCGACAGAGACCAAAGCTATGGACGAGGGTCTCACCCCACAGGAGATCTGCGACAAGTACCACGTTATCCATGCTGACATCTATCGCTGGTTTAACATCTCCTTTGATATTTTTGGTCGCACCACCACTCCACAGCAGACCAAGTAGGCTGCCATTGATATGGCAAATGTGGGGATGAGGGCTGGGAGAGGGGGCGCTGAGAATATCCTGGAGACGGAAGGAACCTGGGTGGCTGCCGAGGCATTTCTCCTAATGTTTAATTTTTCCACGAGGGTGCATGAGCTCTCTGGGAAGAAAAAGAAAGAAAGAGCACCACCCCCATGGGGGATCGTGCCATAATCCTTTTTACTCCACCTCCCCCTTCTGGATTTTAGGCACACATGCGCACATGCCAGTGTGTTTTTCGAGCCACCTGGGATTGGATCTGAATCATTCAGTAGGCCATTTGGGATTCAGTCTCCTTTACTAACATGACACAAGCTGGGCCAGCATTATTTCTTACATTTTATTTATTTAGAGAGAACCCCAGGAAGATCTTTTTTTTTTTTTTTTTAAACTTTGCTATAGGATACATGTGCTAGCCAGAGAGAAACATAGAGAGTTACAAGGTATCCCTCAGGGGCATTAGCTAGACTACAGTCCCTTCTTCATTCTCATCTTGGGACCTTGGCGCCACACACACACACACACACACACACACACACACACACGAGCCCAGCATGTTTTTCCAGCTGTTGGGTCCAGGACTTGAACCATCTTGTTAGCCATGTGGAATCCAGCCGCCTTCACCACACCTCTGGCTGGCTCTCCCAGTAGGGTCTTGATGCCATGATTTACCCTCAGCTTTAGTAGCCTTGGATCATTGGCAAGGATATGCCTGGCTTACTTAGAGAGTTCTTTGGACTTGAACCAGGGACCTTGTCATGTGGGATTGCCTCACAGAGCATTGTGTTTCAGCACTGTGCCATCATCTGGTCCCCTATCCAGGCCTCATTAAGGGATTCAGTGTGTGCAGAAGTCTGACAAGGTCCTGAATGGGCAGCCAAGGGAGGGAAGAGACAAGACAGGCCTCTTCTCTGGCTGCCATTGATTCCTGACATCCCCTCCTACTTCCCTCTCTGTTTATAACAAACACACTCATTCTTCCTCTGCCTGACACTTATCTAATTTAGAGCTGTGTACTAAGGCCTGCTCCCATAGCATAACAATCAATTCTGTGCATAGGGAACTGAATCCCATGTGTTTGACCACAGTTTAAGTCCTGTCTCTGGCAGCTTGAAAAACATGCTGGGCACATGTGTGTGTATGCCGCAAATCCTAATGGGATAGAGAAATGGAGGAAAAAAGGATTGCAGCCCGACTGTGCCCCGTTAAGGGCTGCTTTTTCACTCTCGCTGGTGAGCATACATGCCCTCTGGCAGTGAACCAATGAATTTAAAAACGACGTGCTAGACAGGCTGCCACACTAGTGCTCTGCAGTCTAGCACTTGGACTGATTAAGTTCTTAGGACATAATAAAGAAAAGGTTGGCAGGTGGCATGGTGGTCGAGGTGCTGGACTCCCACATGGCCGACCATGGTTTGATCTAGGACATGGCAGCTTGCTCTCTCACTTTGTCTGTTTCTGTTCAAATTAAAAAAAAAAAAAAGAAGAAAATAAAGAACAGACACAGGGACCAGCAGGTGGTACAGTGGTTACGTCACTGGACTCTGATTTGGTCGACCGTGGTTCGAGTCCTGGACCCAGCAGTTTAAAACTCATGCCGGGTGCTTGACCATGAGTGCCCAAAGTCCCAAGTGAAGAATGGAGGAAACTCTCTCTTAAAAAAAAAAAAAAAAGAACAGATACAGTCCTATCCTTTGAAGATTTTTGTTAATTTAATGAAACTACAATATAGATGAGTCTATATTCAACAAAAGTAAATTATGAAGTGTGAGGAACAAGACTGTGTGGGCATCTGGGGACTATATGTGAAGGTCTGAGCTCATCCAGGAAAACTGAAGATGACTGGAGGGCCTTTCCTTGAGGGGCCTTCTGCCTGATTGCTTCGGTGCTTGGTTTGAGAAAGTGTTTTGAGTCCATGGTTGGAGTGGTCCGAGGGAGGGCTGCCACACCTCTTCCTGTCACTGTCCCTTTCCATTCGTTCACACCACCAGAATCACACAGGACATCTTCCAGCGATTGCTGGCACGAGGTTTTGTGCTGCAAGATTCGGTGGAGCAACTGCGGTGTGAACGCTGTGCCCGCTTCCTGGCTGACCGCTTTGTGGAGGGCGTGTGTCCCTTCTGTGGCTATGAGGAAGCCCGAGGTGACCAGTGTGACAAGTGTGGCAAGCTCATCAATGCCATTGAGCTCAAGGTGAGAGAAGGGTCTCATGGAGGCCTGTAAAGAGATAATCCCTGTATATATATATTTTTAAAGAATTTGTTTATTTCACTTATTATCTTTTTTTTTTTTTTTTTTTAAGAATTTTTTAATTTTAGAGACCAGCAGTTAGCGTAATGGCTATGTCGCTGGACTCCCACGTAGTCAACCGTGGTTCGAGTCCTGGACCCAGTGGCTTAAACTCACGCCGGGCGCGTGTGCGTGCGTGCCCAAGATCCTGAGAGGAGAATGGAGGAGAAGGGATTGTGGTGTGGCCATCCCCCCTGGGGGGTGATTTCCTGCTTTCTGTCTCTCTGTCTGTCTGGCGAGCACATGTGCCCTATAGCAAAAACCTCTCAAAAAAAAAAAAAAGAATTATTTAACTTTATGTATGTGTGTATTTTTTTATTTTGGGAGAGATTTTGCTATAGGGCACATGTACTCGCCAGAAAGACAGAGAAAGACAGAGACAGAAAGCGAGAAATTACCCCCCCAGGGGATATGGCCACACTGCAATCCCTTCTCCATCCTCCTCTCCGGATCTTGGGCACGCATGCACACGTGCCCGGCATGAGTTTAAGCCACCGGGTTCGGGACTCGAACAGCAGTCGACTACATGGGAGTCCAGCGCCATAGCCAATTGCTGGTCCTGGTTTTTATTAACTTTTTTAAAAAAGTTTTATTTCTTACATGAGTGAGCGTGAGAGAGACAACACCTCTAACGAGTCTTGATACTGTGATCCACCTCTGGCCTCAGAATGGAGGAGAAGGGATTGTAGTGTGGCCATCCTCCCCGGGGATGATTTCTCGCTTTCTGTCTCTCTGTCTCTCTCTGTCTTTCTGGTGAGGGCACATGCTCTATGGCAAAAACCTCTCCAAAAAAGAAAAATACAACTTGTGGGTTTTTGGCTTGAGCAGTTTTGGGCAGTTGGAAGTGAATATGGGCAAGATTAGGAGAACAGGATTGCAGTAGAATGCAGTGGAGCTGCTTAGGTTTGGCAAGCTTGAGGTGCCTCTTAGACATCCACATAGAGATACAGATAGGCAGTTGTATGTGGGCACATGGCATTTGGGAGGCTGGTTCTGAGAGTTATAATTTCTCACCTTCAGAAACTCGGATCAGGGCGAGCCCTGTGGCCCGGTAGTTAAGAGGACAAGATCTCACATGGCTGACCACGGGGTTTGAATCTGGCGGCTTAAAAATCACACTGGGTGCATGTACTTGGATGCCCCATATCCCAACAAAATAGACAGATGAAGTAGAGGAATTGTGGCATAACCAGATGCCATTGGAGGATGTGCTCACTCTCACACACACGCACACACACGTGCACAAGTGCATGTGACCTCTGGCAGATTAAATAAACAAACCCCAGATCAGAAGTTAGCTGGTGGCACAATGGTAACATAATATTCTCTGATGTTGGACCCACATGGGAGGGTCCCAGGTTTGTGTCTTGAGGCCTTCCTGTGCATGCTGGGATGCTTCAGGCATGCCGCTGGTTCAGGCAGGCTGAGTCTGGCAACTGGTTACCTAGAGCCTGAAGACTCCATTAAGAGTACCCCCTTCCTTCCTTCTCTTGGAAGAAATAAATTAATTTAAATTTTTTTAATTTTAATTTTAATTTTAGTTTTTTGCCATAGGGAGCATGTACTTGCTAGAGAGAGAAAGTAAGAAATCATGCCCCAGTGGGGATGGTGACTCTGCAGTCCTTTCTCCATCCTCCTCTCGGGATTTTGGGCATGCATACAGATATACCCAGTGTGATCCTCAAGCCCCTGGATCCGGGACTTGAACCATGGAGTCGGACATGTGCCAGTCTAGCGCCTTTACCTCCACGCTACCTGCTGGCCCTCAAATAAGTAAACTTGAAAAAATAAATTCATAAAGCTTTAGTTGATTAGCCCTACCTAACCATTCACTATTTGGCCATCATCTTTCAGTGTTTATATAGTCTATAACTTTCTTGACAGTTTTCTTTGTGAGATCTGTACTTATTTGTCACACAGCTGCCTTGATAACTTGATGCTAACCTCAAGGAGGGATTGTGTGTCTTCTCTCTCATGGCTGCTTCCTCTTCCCCTCACACGGCTCAGTGCAGTGCTCTGTACCTAGTCTTTTCCCTTCTCTGGAGTTGTAGGACAGACATGGAACTCTGAGGGACAAATGTACTGTGCAGACTTGGATCTGCACATTCAGAGAAGGCCGAGTAGTTATGAGCTGGCTGAGTGTTAGCATGAAGCTAAGCTAGATGGCCAACTGAGGCCTAAAGTCCCGATTCTAACAGTCCCACCCCGGGTCTCTCCTCTGATGTTTCCATCCATAGAAGCCTCTGTGTAAAGTCTGCCGATCGAGCCCTGTGGTGAAGTCCTCCCAGCACCTGTTCTTGGACCTTCCTAAGGTAAGTGGGCCTTTTCCTTAACTTGGTATTCAAGAGGCTTCTTGTACCCCTGCTGCCTTGTCCGTAGATACTGACAGTAAATCACTGTCAAATGTTAGTGATTGCCATTAAAAATCATACACGCTGTTGTAGAGATGAAACACTGAAGGACACGAAGTGAAAACCCCTGGCCCCTCAAGCCTACTTGCCAGAGGTATTTACTACTGCTCATTTTCCTTTGTGTCTATTCAAAAGTATCATGTGCATATAAACATATATATATTTTTAGAGGTTTTGCTTTAGGGCATGTGTGCTCGCTGGAGAGACAGAGACAGTGAGGTGGAAAGTGAGAAATAACCTGGCCACACTGCAGTCCCTTCTCTTGCATTCTCCTCTTGGGATCCTGTGCATGCTCGCCCACACACCTGGTGTGGTTTTGAAGCCACTTACTCTGGGACTCAAACCGCAGTTGGCTGTGAGTCCAGTGATGTAACCACCATACCATCCACTGGTCCCTAATATAAACGTATTTTTATGGCTTTTTTTCTTTTTCTTTTTCTTTTCTTTCTTTTTTTTTTTTTTTGGAGAGGTATTTGCTATAGGGCGCATGCGCTTGCCAGAGAGAGAGAGAGAGAAACAGAAAGTGAGAAATTACCCCCTGGGGGATGGCCACGCCACAATCCTTTCTCCTCTATTCTCCTCTCGGGATCTTGGGCGCAAACGCACACCTGTGCCTGGCGTGAGTTTAAGCCACCAGGTCCGGTACTCGAACTGTGGTGGACTACATGGGAGTCCAGCAACATAGCCATAATGCCAACTGCTGGTCCCTGGCATTTTTTTCTTAATGTAAGGTAGATCATAATGTTTATATTGTATTGCAGTCTGCTTTCTTTTTCTTTGTGATATTTCTTTTTTTCTTTTTTTTTTGTAGAAGTTTTTGCTATAGGGCATGTGCACTCGCCAGACAGACAGAGAGAGACATAGAGACAGAAAGCGAGAAATCACTCCCCAGGGGGGATGGTCACGCCGCAATCCCTTCTCCTCCATTCTCCTCTCGGGATCTTGGGCACGCACGCACACGCGCCTGGCGTGAGTGTAAGCTGCCGGGTCTGGGACTCAAACCGTGGTCGACTACATGAAAGTCCAGTGATATAGCCATTATGCTAACTGGTCCCCCTTTGTGATATTTCTTGACCAGTTTTTCACATTAGAGCTGCCTCTTTTTTTTTTTTTAGTAATAATTCAAGCTCATGAAAAAGGTGCAAGAGTACACTTGTTAAAAAAAAGAACCCTAGGTTCTTTACCCAGAAGAGTCTCATGTTCAGTTTCAGTTAAGTGTTTGCTGTGTGTACTTTAGTACATTCTCTTTCTCTCCTACTCCTCTTCTCTCCTTACCCTCCCCTCACCCCCCCCACGCACACATAGATGTGCATATATATCCTCCTAAACACTTCAGTATGTACAGCTGATCCTTGACAACATGAGTTGGAACCATGCAGGTCCACTTATACATGGAATTTTTTCAATAAATAATATTGGAAAATATAATACAGTACCTGTAAATGTATTTTGTCTTATTTATGATTTTCTTACCATATTTTTCTCTAACTTTTTAAAAAATTATTTATTTAATTTTATTTATTCATTCATTTATTTTAATTTGACCAGAGAGAGAGAGAGAGAGATAGAAAGCGAGACAGCAAGCCACCAGATCTGGGACTTGAACCATGGTTGGCTATGTGGGAGTGTCCAGCACCTTAACCACCATGCCACCTGCTGGTCCCTCTCTAGCTGTTTTTTTATTTTTTTAAGAATTATTTTACTTAACTTTATTCTTTTTTTTTTTGAGAGATTTTTGCTATAGGATGCGTGCGCTCGCCAGACAGAGAGAGACATAGAGACAGAAAGCGAGAAATCACCCCCCAGGGGGGATGGTCACGCCGCAATCCCTTCTCCATTCTCCTCTCGGGATCTTGGGCACGCACGCACACGCACCCGGCGTGAGTTCTAAGCCACTGGATTCGGGACGCGAACTGCAGTTGACTACGTGGGAATCCAGCAACATAGCCATTACGCTAACTGCTGGTTTCCTATTTATTTATTCTTAATTTGACCAGAGAAGGGTAGAGTAAGAGAGAGAGCGGAAGAGAGAGGGAAAGTGAAAAAGCAAGCTAGCAGGTATGGGACTTGAACCATGGTCTGTCATGTGGTAGTCAGGTGCCCTTAACCATCAGGCCTTCTGCTGGCCCCTCTACCTTACTTTTATTTTATGTAACAATTCAGTGTAGGGGCTGGCAAGTGGCCTGGTGGTTAAGGGCACTGGACTCCCACATGGCCAACTGAGTTTGAGTCCTGGACCTGGCAGCTCTCTCTTGCTTTTTCTCTGTTCCTCCTCTAGTCAAATTAAATAAATAAATAAATAAAGCTAAATAATTCTTTTAAAAAATATAGTATATAATACATATGCAAAATCTGTGTTAATTGACAATTATTGGTAAGTAGTCTTACAGGTTATTATTAGTTGTTTTGTTTTGTTTTGCCGGGTTTTTTTTTGAGAGAGAGTTTTTTGTTTTTGTTTTTTTTTGAGAGGTTTTTGGTATAGGGCACATGCGCTCACTAGGAAGACAGACAGAAAGCGAGAAATCACCTCCTACGGGGGTGGCCACGCCGCAGTGCCTTCTCCATTCTTCTCTCGGGATCTTGGGCATGCACGCACACATGCCCCTTGTGAGTCTAAGCTACCGGGTCCAGAACTCGAACTGCAGTCAACTACATGGGAGTCCAGTGACATAGCCATTATGTCAACTGCTGGTCCCCTTTTTTCTTTTTTTTTTTTAACAATTATTTTATTCAATTTTATTTATTCATTTATATATTTTAATTTGACCAGAGAGAGAGAAAGTGAGAAAGCTGGCTGACCACAGTTCAAGTCCTGGACCTGGCAGCTTGCTTTCTCTTTCTGTCCAGCATCTTAACCACCACCGCGCCATCTGCTGGTCCCCTCTTTATTCTTTTTGTGGAAAGTTATTTATTTTATTTATTTACTCATTTATTTGAATTTGACCAGAGAGGGACAGAGTGAGAACAAGAGAGAGAGAAAGAGAAAACAAGCCTCCAGGTCCAGGACTCCAACCACTGTCGGCCATGTGGGAGTCCAGCGCCCTTAAATCACCACACCACCTCCCAACCTCCTTTTTTCGTTTTTTTTTTTTTTAAGTTTTGCTATAGGGTGCATGCACTCACCAGAAAGTGACAGAGAGAGCGAGAGGAGATGAGAAAGTACCCCTCAAGGAGGATGATCATGCCGCAGTCCCTTTTCCATGCTGTTTTTGGGATTTGGGGCATGCGCGCACACACATAAACACCCTGTGTGTTTTTCTTTTTCTTTTTGTTTTTTAAAAGAATTATTTAACTTAACTTTATTTTAATTTGACCAGAGAGTGTTCTCCAAAGAGATAAAGTGAGAAAGAACCCCTCAGGGGAGCTGGCTATGTCCCGGTCTCTTCTTCTTTCTCCTCTCAGTATTTTGGGCATCCTCGTACACATGCCTGGCGTGTTTTCCAAGCTGCAGGATTCAGTACTTGATGTATGTTGTTGGCCATGTAGGATCCAGCTGCCTTAACCTCCATGCCACCTGGCTGGCCCATGTGTGAAATTTCCTGTTGCATAATTTCTGTTATATAAATTCCTAGAAGTGGAATTGCTTTGTCAAAATTATGAGTCTTTTAATTTCTATTATATATTGCCAAACTACTGTAAAAAGGTTATGTGTATTTATTATTATGCTAAACTTGTATAAGCCTACCTCAAATCAGCCTTGTCTCTCTGCCATCTCAGCTGGAAAAGCGAGTGGAGGAATGGTTGGAGAGGACATTGCCTGGCAGTGACTGGACGCCCAATGCCCGGTTTATCATTCGCTCTTGGCTTCGGGATGGCCTCAAGCCACGCTGTATAACTCGTGACCTGAAATGGGGAACACCTGTGCCCTTAGAAGGTTTTGAGAGCAAGGTAAAAATTCTTTAACCTTTATATCTCAAATTATTCCACCTTGTGATTGAGACTTTAGGCTAGCAGACTAGACCTTTGATTATGTCATTTCTTTTTTTTTTTCTTATAAATAATTATTTTGTTTAACTATATTTTAAATTTTGATCCAAGAGGGACAGAGTGAGAGAGAGAGAGAGTGAGAACTTGAACTTGAGGTTCGGAACTTGAACTGCAGCTGGCTATGTGGGAGTCCAGCGCCCTTAACCACTATGCCACTTGCCGGTTCCCTATTTTAGAATTATTTATTTATTTAATTCCATTTGTTGTTATATTTTTAAAGAATTATTTAATTGCATTCATCGCTATTTTATTTTTTAAAGTTTACTAGAGAGAGAGAGAGAGAGAGAGAGAGAGAGAGAGAGAAAGTGAGAAAGCAAGCAAGCTGCCAGGTTTGGGACTCGAATCGTGGTCAGCCAGGTTGCAATCCAGCCACCCTAACCACCTGCCAGCCCTGTCCATTTGTTAATATTTTTTAATTTGACCAGAGAGAAAGGGAAAGTGGGAAAGCAAGCCACCAAGTTGGGGACTCGAACAATGGTCTGTCATGTGGGAAATTCAGTGCCTTTATTCACCATGCCACTTGCCAAACCCTATTTTTTATTATTTATTTATTTTTTTTTTGGTGGCCAAATCCTATTTATTTATTTTTTAATTTGACTAGGGGGTGTGGGGGAGAGAAGAAAGCGAGAAAGCGAGCTGCCAGGTCTGGGATTTGAAGCAAGCTTGGCCATGTGGGAATTCAGAGTTGTTAAAGACCACACCACCTGCTGTAATCCCTCCCTTTTCTTTTTTTTTTTTTTTTTTAAAGAGATTTTTGCAATAGGGCGTGAGATAGAGAAACAGAAAATGAGACATCACCCTCAGGCAGGGATGGCCACGCCACAGTCCCTTCTCCATCCTCCTCTTAGGACCTTGGGCATGTATGCACACACACCTAGCATGAGTTTTAAGCTGCCGGGTCTGGGACTCGAACTGCAGTCGACTATATGGGAGTCCAGCAGTGTAACCATTACACCATCTACTGGGCCCATTGATTATGTCATTTTAATCTGAGACTCTGGGTTGGGCTCTACCATGTTTCCCTTTTCCTGATCCTCCAGGTGTTCTACGTCTGGTTTGATGCCACTATTGGCTATCTGTCCATCACAGCCAACTACACAGACCAATGGGAGAAATGGTGGAAGAACCCAGAGCAAGTGAGCAATTTTGTTTATCCTGTTTGCAGGGTGGGGGTGTGTGCGTGTTGCCGTGAAGGGTGTTAGGGTTGGGTGTCTGGTCGTTCTTGGCCTTTGAAGAAGGGTCTCAGAAGATCTCTCTCTCACCTGTATTCTCCTAGGTGGAGCTATATCAGTTCATGGCCAAAGATAACGTTCCCTTCCATGGTATAGTCTTTCCTTGTTCAGCCCTAGGAGCTGAGGACAACTACACTTTGGTCAGCCACCTCATTGCTACAGGTAGGTCCCCCGGAAGACTGCAGGTTTGAGTGTTCTAGGGAATGAAGGCTGAGGCAGAACCTGGAAGAAGATCCTGGGTGGGTGCTGTTTTGAGTTAGGAGTTGAGGTAAAATGGGAAATAATAAAAATATGTTAACTCAACCCACAGAAAGGAAACAAGAACCCAAAGAAAGCAAAAAATCTGAAGCTGAAATTGTGAAAAATATAAGTGAAGAGGGGGCTGGCAGAGGTGTGGTGATTAAGGGCACCGAACTCCCACATGGCCAACCACAGTTCATGCCCCGAACCTAGTGGCTTGTTTTCTCACTTCCGTCTCTCTTGCTTTCACTCTGTCCCTCTCAACAAATTAAAAAAAAAAAAAAAAGTGGATAAATAAAGTGGAAACAAAAAAGGGCCACGCAGTTGGGG